AGGGGGAAGGGGCAAAGGCAGAGGAAGAAGCAGACTCTCCCATTGAGCGGGGAGCCCGACTCGGGGCTCGATCCCAGGACCCTGGGACCATGACCTGAGCCGAAGGCAGATGCTTAATGGACTGAGCCACCCAGGCGCCCAGGTAATTAAAGTTTAGAGCCCAGCCCTGTTCAATTGAGGGAGCATTACCTGGCTCTGATGGGACATGGGGTTTCCCACTCTGGTCTCTGATCTGCCCTGGCTTTTGGGGGGACCCCAAGTGTGAGGGCTGGCTGGTCACAGCCTCCCCGCTTCTGCCCCCAGATCACCGCAGTGTGCAACTTCTTCACTTACATCCGCTACATCCAGCAAGGCCTGGTGCGTCAGGAAGGTGAGCGCCCCCTGGTGGCCGGTGGGGCTGGCCTGTGGGAGGGAGCGGGCGGGCCAGCAGCGGTGGGGTCAACTTATGCGCGTTGTTGCCTGGACAGAGGGGAAGACTCTGCCAGGCTCTGCCAGGTCCCGCTGCCTTCTCCCCGCCAGAAACTTCTCCCAGGCCCCGGGGCTTGTGGGGACTGCTCCCTGTTACTGGCCTGGCATTGGAAGCCCTGCACGATGGGGTGTCCCTTGTGGATCTCCTCCCCCCTGGGAGTGGCCTCCTCATGGTCATTTGACACCAGCTGCCACCTCCCACTTTACCCTTGCCCACCCAGCAGGTCCTCCATCTACCTGTTGTCCCCTCTACCCCTGTTCTGCAAGGCCTAGCATCCCGCTCCTCCACCAAGCTTGTCAGTTTGAAGTCTGAGCCTCTCCTCCCCAGCTTGGGCATCAAGCTTTGGCCTTGGAGGGGAACTCGGACTGACCCCGTGGCTCTGCTGACGGCTCAGGGTCTCTGAGACCCCAGGGAGATGGGGTTGGGAAGCATTTGTGGCTCGCCAAATGCGTGGCAGTGTGCTCATGCATGTCGGTGCTGGGCTGGGGGGCGATGCATGGTGGTGCAGAGTTTGTTCAGCACTCAACAGTTTGCAGGGCCTCAGTGTGGAGCCTCAAAGAGGTCGGGCCACTCACTGAGATCATCTGTGCTGGGGGGCTGGGGGAGCCCTAGGTGCCTACCAGCTGCCCTGCCCAAAGCCAGGGGAGAGGGTCCCGGCCATCTGCCTGAGGTGACCCTGTCCCTGAGCTGTCCACCTTCGTTCCGCCTGCAGCGGAGCCGATGTTTTGGGAGATCACGAGGCTGCGGAAGGAGATGTCGCTGGCCAAGCTCGGCTTCTTCCCCCAGGAGGCCTAGGGCATGGCCCAGGCCTAGAGGGGGGCTCTCAGCAGCAGCTGACCCCTGCCCCAGCACAGACAGACAGGAAGACAGAGTCCTGGATCCGGCCCTGAGCCAGAAGCTGAGCAGATGGACAGATGGCCAGGCTGCGGACGCCTTGCTGAGCTGGTACCAAACCTTTGTCCCGGGACAGACAGGACCTCGTGAGCCGACGCGTCTCCCTTCCTCAGTGGCACACAGCCACCAGGAGACTTCCAAGGAAGCACCAAAGACCGAGGAGCTTGGACCCACACTAAGGGGCTCAGCCCTTAGGAGGGGGTACCCGGGGCAGCACCCCCTTTGCGGGCCTGGGACCTGCTGCTTGCAGGTGCCTTGTTGCTGCCATGTCCTCAGAAAGGGGCCACGCTGGGTGGCCTGATCTCCAGGGTATCCCCGCACCTCTGGTCCCAAGCCCTGGGCCACCAGCGCCCCCTGGTGGCCATCCCTCACCCATTCCCAGGTGGCCTCCCTGTCGGACTGCCCCCCGCGGGCCCCCTGTGTCCAGTGTCCGCGGGGCGGTGGGGCCACAAGGGGCTGTCAGGGACTTCCACACCAACCTGGATCTGCTTGAGAACTGCCCCCAAACTGTTCTTAAGGTGGATCAGGGCCCCTCCGCCTTGCACTTGACCTTCCCCCTCCCCCGTCTGAGCCCTGTGCTCAGGGAGGCCTTGCCCCCACCACCGTTGGAAGGATTAGGATACTTTTCTCCCGAAGTAAAACACAGACAGGGCCTCAGGACACCAGTGTCTGTGTTCAGCTGTGGGTGGCCATTCAGACAATGGGGGCTGAGGCCGCCAAGCCCTGCACACAGGACTGGGGTAGGGTGGGCAGGACCCAGGCCTCTCCTCACCCCTCACAGCCCACTTGGGACTGGGGTCCAACCTGGACACATCCCTCACCACAGCTGATTTCCTCCTTTGGATGGAATGTAACACGATCTCTATTTAATAAAGGAAGGCTTTGTTGGTAGAGGCTGGGCGCCACGCGCCTTCACTCCTGCGCCCTGGGGTTCGGGCCAAGGCTTGGGCATCTAAAGGAATGAAACCAAATCCTTCCCTAGCCCGCCCTCGTGCTTGGGATTAGGCCCAAATCCTGAAGGGATTGCTGTGGGGAGTACCACTCGAGGCCTCTCCAGAGGTCCGTGGGGCTGTGGGTTTTCAGGGCCGAGCCTGGCTTTCTGCCGAGGGGCCTGCTGTGGGGAGAGCAGCGGTGCTGAGGCTGCCCCTCGCGCTGTCTCGTGGGGCAGATCACCCTCTGGTCTCCCTGTGTCTCTCTAACGGGAGCTTAGAGTTCGCGAGGCTGCCTGGCGAGAGCTGGACAGTGGCGGGATCGATTGGTGATGTCTGCCAGCGGCGCAGACATCTTAGCAAGGTGTGGACCTGGGGAGCTATCTTGTGATTCCAGATCCCCTGCCCACCTGTAGGGGTGTGGGTCCAGGCCCGTGGGGGTCCCGGGGAGGGGGAGCATAGCAGCTTCTGGTCAGTGTGTACTGGGGCTGGTGAGGGGGTCCCTACTGGCCTGAGGCCTGAGGCCGGCTGTGGGCTGGCCAGGACTCCGTCAAGGCCACCCAACCCTATCACCCTCTCCAGCCAGGAGCCTTTTCACTCTCGGTCTCCTGCCATGCAGATTCCCCCTTCCTTCCCCCACTTCCTCACGGGGTGATCCCAACATCCTCTCCTGCATACCCGCCTCTTTCTGCCCTCCTCTTGGTCAGTCCTGGGTCAGCTGGGGGAGAAAGAGAATGAAGGTCTGGGCTCTGAAGCTTCTGTGCCCCTGGATGAGCCACCCAGGCTGAGGAGACACCAGGCCACATTTCAGAGCCCTGGCAGAGGGTCCCACAGCCGACTCACTCGCTTGGCCTGCCCCCAGGACAGGATTTCCTGTCAGGCCAAGGCGGGGCTGTGGTGGGCAAACAACAGCGGGTGGGGTGCTTGTGGGGGACCCAGGGGCACACAATCTGGCTCAGGACCTCCCAACAGTAGCTAATATCTGAGCACTAACATCAGCCCCAGGGCTGGCTCCACGCCCTTTAAGCGAACCAGTGCACTTAACCCTCAGAGAACTCCCGTGAGGTACTACTATTTCCCCATTTTGCAGATGAATCCCCTGAGGCACCGAGAGGTCACACAGTCAAGGGTGCCCCCAGGACAGGAATGCCTGAGCCCAGCTCCGGAGCCAGCACCCAGGACTCCTTGCACTAGACAGCTGCCTTGTGCCTGACGCTGGATGAGGCCTTTCCCTGTTTTTCAGAGACATAGAAACTGAGTCTCAGGCAGAGGCGGAGCTGGATTTTCATTAGGCTTGTTTCCCACATTTTTACGGGGTTACAGCTGCTCCCCCACCCCCACTCTTCAGGCTTCTGGGGGTGACTGGGGGCCCTCCGGAGGGAGAGGCTCAGGGCTTCGGCTCTTGGAGTTGGGAGAGGTTTAACTGACATCGGCCGGACAGGAGTTTTTCCTCTTAAGTGAATTTCTAGATAACTCTGTAAGTGCTCCCGGCATCTGTGGTCACCTCTGTTTTTTTTTTTTTTTAAAGATTTTATTTATTTATTTAGCAGAGAGAGACCCACAGCGAGAGAGGGAACACAAGCAGGGGGAATGGGAGAGGGAGAAGCAGGCTTCCCGCGGAGCAAGGAGCCCGATGCGGGGCTCGATCCCAGGACCCTGGGATCATGACCTGAGCCGAAGGCAGACGCTTAACCATCTGAGCCACCCAGGCGCCCCTGTGGTCACCTCTTAAAAGCTAGCTCCAAGGGGCGCCTGGGTGGCTCAGTTGGTTAAGCGACTGCCTTCGGCTCAGGTCATGATCCTGGAGTCCCTGGATCGAGTCCCGCATCGGGCTCCCTGCTCGGCAGGGAGTCTGCTTCTCCCTCTGACCCTCCCCCCTCTCATGTGCTCTCTCTCATTCTCTCTGTCTCAAATAAATAAATAAAATCTTTAAAAAAAAAAAAAAAGCTAGCTCCAACTGTGGCCATCGAGCCTGAGCCCGCGCGCGCGCACCTTCCACATTGCTCTGCTGTGTCACGTTTTACCATCCACCAAGCCCGCCCGGATTGGATGCTGCCGGGACTGTGTACCTGGGCCATGGGGCTCCTGTCTGGGCCTCAGTTTGCTCCTCCATGAGTTGGGAAGATTGGACCACGTGACCTTTGCAGCCCCTCCCCCACCCCTTTTTCATTTATTTCATTGGGGTAAAAAGCACAGTTTACCATCTTAACTTCCTGCCATCGTCTGTACGTGCCACACTTTCTTTACCCATCCATCCCTTGTTGGACATGTGGGTTGCTCCCACCTACTAGCTAATGTGAATGATGCTGCTGTGGATGCGTGAGAGCAGTGATTTCTTCGAGGCCTTGCTTTCAGTTCCTTTGGATATTTACTGAGAGGCAGGTTCGCCCGGTGATATGCCGCCGTTCTGTCTTCAGTTTTCCGAGGAACCTCCAGATCGTCTTCCACAGAAGTGGTACCATTTTACGATCCTGCCAACAGTGCACAGGGATTCCGGTTTCTCCACATCCTCGCCAACACGTGTCAACGTTGGTGTTTTTTGATAATTGCCTGTGAGGTGATAGCTCACTGTGGTTTTGACGTGCATTTCTCCGATGCTTAATGCCCTTGAGCTCATCTTTTCATATGCTTGTTGGCCTTGGACATCCTGAGGAGCCCTACCACGCACCAGAGTGATGCCTCCGGGGAGAGACTTTCGTGGCTGGTCGGACAGCTCTTCTGTCATTCTGTGGCCCCCGGCCCCCCTCACATGGCAACGAGTTGTGTCCAGGGCCTAATAACCAAGCCCACAGCGTGGCGAGCTTTAGCTCAAAGCCAAGTTGCAAAGCTCTGACTTGAGTCCACTTTGTGCGTCTGCTGAGAACACACACTGCCTGAGCTTTAGGACTGCTCTTTCTGGTAGGCCCAGAGCTTCCCCATGTCCCCCCAAACGGGCCACCGCCGCACCTCTGCTGCTTGCCCGGGCCCCTGCTGGTCTGCACAAGTATCATTCAGCTCCCTGACCGTGGCTAGAGACTTGAGTGTGTCCCACGAGAGGCATGTCAGCTCACAGCCAGGAGAAGCTCTGGGCCAGGGGCCAGCCACGGGTTGGAGGGGCTCAACCTCAAGCAGGCACCCTCCCCCCAAAATGCTCCAGCTGGCCAGATCCTCCCGGGCCTTTTGGCTAGTTCTCCCCTCCCCCTGCCTAAGCCCGATTCCTGGCGGTGGCCCAATGGCAGCTCAGGAATGTCAAGTGGAGCCTCTCCCTGACAGGGAGGGTGCGGGGAGGGGGATAATAGAGTCTCAAGTTCTCCTGGAGCCCCTGATTTTAGGAGAGTTGCAAGGTCCACTGGGTTGAAGCCTGGAGGGGTAAAGCCACCTATGGAAGGCCCCGAGGCCTAGGGAGAAATCGTGTGGGCAGCTGTTGGTTCCGCTCTGAGAAAGAGACACACAGTTCAGGCCTTACAGGAACACAATGACAGGCGTCAGGAGATCTTGACCACCACTCTCTCCTTGCCAGGATCAAGTGGCCGGAGGGGCAGCACCGCCCCAAGCCCTGTCCTTGCTTTATGGCCTGGGGGACCCTGTGCAGGCCTTCATCTTCCTCATCTGTCTGGGAGCGGCTGGGGCAAGTGGAGGTTCTGACCCTCTCCAGTCCCCCAGGGGCCTTGCATGTGGCTGAGACCAGGTCGGGGCCCAGCGAAGGCGGCAGGGGTCAGCATCTGAACCCTGAGGGCTGCTGAAGCTGGGGTGGAGGCCCCGCCCCTTGTGGAGGGGCTGGAGATTGGGGCAGGAGGTTCAGTTCCTGTAAGAGCCTGCCTATCCTTGAGCTCACCTGCAAACATGGTGGCAGCAGGGGTATCTGCAGTCACCGCCCACCTCGGCCGCCAGCCACACACACCTCTGCTGCCCCCCACCCCACCACACACATGCTCAGGGAGGGGGTTCAAGGACACCTCGGTGCTCAGGCAGCCCAGGGCCATGGGCAAGGCCTTCACGGTTGTCTTGGCAACCAATAGAGGTCTCTCGGTACCAAGGAGAACCCAGAAGCCCCTTCAGCCTTTCCTGGCGCCCTGGCCCTCCTGCCCCACAAATACTAGCTTTAATGATTTACTACAAATTGTCAAACCAAGATAAAAGGTTAGCATATCGGAGAAATATACTTCGTGTTCTCCAAGTGCATTCCCTGAACCGGCGCAGCAGCATCACCCCCCTGCGAACCTGTTCCAAATGCAATTCTCCGCCCCCAAACCAGCCCTGCTGAATCCCACCCTGGTGGCGAGCGCAGCGGTCCTGCCTTAACAGGCTCTCCGGTGATCCCGCTGTGCTCGAGTTTCATACCCCCGCTGCCCTGCAGCATAACCTTGGCCTGATTGCATTCCATGTCGAGTGTGAACGCCTCGCTTCTAGGAACAGGTGTCTTTATCTCAAAAACACACAGAAAGTAGTTTGGGGAGCACCTTACACTCTCAAAAGGACTTGAATTTATTTAAGTAAAAATGGGGGAGGGGGCTGCAACAAGCAGAGCAGCCAGTGAATGACAGCGACCCGCTACCGATGCCGGGGCCCCTGCCCCCCTTCCACATGCCCACCCTGCAGCCCCAGCGGCAGGAAGACCACGCCCCCCCTCCCCCCCACCGCAGACCGCCCCGCGCGGGGCCGGACGGCGCGGCCGGTCGCTCAGCCCCGACGGCGGCCTCGCTGCGCAGACGCTGGGGGCCGATTGTTTGAAAGCTATTTACAGTCACCCCGAGGCAGCGTTCCCACCTCCGTGCGCTCAGGACTGAACGTTCCAGGACGCGTGGCTGGAAGCCCCGTGTGCGCAGACTGTGGTTCCAAACCCCGCTGGCGCAGACCTGGGCCCCGAGGGCAAGGCCGCACCGGTCAAGGGTGTAAAGTCCCCGCCCCTCCCCCGTGCCCCCC